CTTACGTGGGCCGCGGCGGAACTTCCCCACCCTGCTCTAAAGTCCCGCCGAGCTCGTGTGGCCCCGCCCCTGGAGCTCAGCAGGGGATCTGGTCCTGTTAGTGCTGAGGTCTGGGAGCGGGAATGTCGGGGCGCAGACACCTCGCACTGGTCACCCCGTTCTGAGCTCCGGGCAGAGAGTGACCTGTGCGGTTGAATACCCGCCCGACGGCCTAGCTCGGTGCTGGGCGCACGAGGCTGCTGCACCCTGACTTCTTCTCTTCCCCTCTCCGGGCACGCCGTCGCCTCCCTTCCCTCAATTCCTCGGCACTGTCCTCAGACACAGGGGGTCCTTGTGGGCTTTGGGCTTTAAGGCGGAGCCCTCGCCCCCATGGAACTTCAAAGCCCCCGAGACGCTGCAGCGATTGTGGGGTTGCTTTTCTGTTCCCGCCGCCCCGGTCCTGGCACTGCTGTCTGGGCCCCGGTGCAGAGCAAACAGGGTGCTTCTCGAGACGGGGGACCTCCGGGGGAGACCCCCATCGACCCGGCTTGGGTCGGGCGTCTCGTCCTGTCCAGTGGCCATGGGAGAGTGGAGTGAGGGAGGTGCTAGGGTGAGGCCCGCCTACCCCTGAATGAGTCTTTGGAAAGGACTGGGGGCTGAGCAGTCATAGCATCACCCCCTCTTCCCCACCAGCTCCCCCACCTTCTCTCGTCCAGCCTGCGCCCTGCGGGCCTGGCGGGCAGTGTGGCTTCTGAGGGCTCGCTCTCAGCGGGCTCTGCAGGGGCCTGTGCTCTGAGCTGGTGCTTCCCTCCCTCACAGCTCCCAGCCGGCAGCCGGCATTCGGTGCGAGCTGATGGCAGCCTCCACCTGGACCGGGCGCTGCAGGAGGACGCGGGGAAGTACAGCTGCGTGGTCACCAACACGGCCGGCTCCCAGCACAGGCATGTGCAGCTGGTCGTCCAGGGTGAGTCCTGGGGCCCAAGGTTGTGGGGTGGGGCCGGGAGCTGGCCGGGATGGGGGAAGGTGCGTGGGGGGAACTTGATCTTGAATACCTTTGTTTAAAAAAAAAATTGCACAAGTAGTACATAGTCACTGTAGGAAATTGAGAGACCAGATCGGTAAGTAAAAAATACTCCTATAATACGCAAAGCTAAGATTAACCAGAATAACTTTACATTTTAGTGTGTACCTTTCATACTGCATACACATGTGAGCTTACACACACACCAATATGTATGTAATAAATTGTATATCAGTTATATACTTTCAAAAAGTAGTTTTATTAATTTTTGGAGAAAGAGAAAGGGAGAGGGAGAGAGAGAGAGAGAAAAAAAAACATTGATGTGAGAGCAAAACATTGATGGGCTGCCTCCTGCATGTCCCCTACTGGGGATCGAGCCCACAACCCCAGGCATATGCCCTGATCAGGAATGAAACGGGCAATTTTTTGGTTCATGGGACGATGCCCAACTGACGGAGCCACACTAGCCAGGGCTAAATCACACATTCTTTTTGTTGTTTTTTTTTTAAATATATTTTATTGATTTTTTACAGAGAGGAAGGGAGAGAGATAGAGAGTTAGAAACATCGATGAGAGAGAAACATCGATCAGCCGCCTCCTGCACACTGCCTACTGGGGATATGCCCGCAACCCAGGCACACGCCCTTGACCGGAATCGAACCTGGGACCTCTCAGTCCGCAGGCCGACGCTCTATCCACTGAGCCAAACCGGTTTCGGCCACACATTCTTTACATAAATTATATATGCGTCTATATTTCTACCCACCTGTGTATGAATTCCTTATAAACACATATACATACATGTGTTTAAGCCACGCCAGGGCCACATTATTACACCGCTGTCTGAGCCTGCGTGTTTCCCATGGCACTAGATTTTATAATGTTTTCTATCAGTAAGTTCCCAGAGCCTCGGCCTAAGGCTGCGTGCGCTGCGTGCCCTGTGTGGATGAGCCGTGAGCCTCTAGCCCAGTGATGGTGAACCTATGACACGCGTGTCAGAGGTGACACGCAAACTCATTTTTTTGGTTGATTGTTCTTTGTTAAATGGCATTTAAATATATAAAATAAATATCAAAAATATAAGTCTTTGTTTTACTATGGTTGTAAATATCAAAAAATTTCTATATGTGACACGGCACCAGAGTTAAGTTAGGGTTTTCAAAATGCTGACACGCGAGCTCAAAAGGTTCGCCATCACTGCTCTAGCCTGTCCCCTCGCGTGAGCACCCCGGGGTCACCGTCCGTGCCTCCACCTTTGCCCACGGGGCCGAGTGTCCTTAGGACAAACCCCTTCAAGTGGAGTTGAGCGCTGAGTCCCGGGGTGGCCCATTTTTAGGGCTTTTTGTGTGTTTTTCCCGTTCCTCTCCCACGCACAGCGCCGGAGTCCCTGCTTCCCTTCGCCCTCCCACCCAGGTGCCTCCGTTCTCTTTTGTGTAAGACGAGACGTTTAAAGGAAGCCTGGTTATATTTTGTCATTTACCACGTCTGTTAATACCCTCTTTTAAAAAAATCTTGTTTCATAAAATCCCCACGGATGAGCGGGAAGAATTCACTATTCTCCATTTTTTAGGGGAAAACCAACGTCCAGGTCACAGGGTCAGGCTGCCTTCGCAGAGCGAGTCCCGGGGGGTCGGGTGGGTGCGTGAACACGCTCTGGTCTCCCCCACCCCCCACTCCTCTTAGAGACCCCGTTTCGATGCTTGCGGATCCGGATGGTGCCCAGGTGGCTGTGGCACATGTTCCCAAATCCACTTGTTCTGTGAATTCTATTTTTTGCCATTTCTCATTCGTCCACCCTCAGAGAGTGGGCAGTGACTTGGGGTTCATTTAGTTGTTTTTGCTGGTCAAGGAGTATGGGTGCCAAGAGATGAAACGGTTTATCCAAAGTCCCAGAGCGCAGAAATGGCACGGCTGGTTCCCAGGCACGGCTGCCCTCTGCCTGGGGCCTGACCGCACAGCAGCGGTGACTGAGGGACCACACCTTTGTGTTCCGCTGCTGACATTGTTGTTTTTAAATTGTGTTAAAATCTACATAACAGAGCTTACCATTTAATAAATATTGTTATCAACTTCAGAGAGGAAGGGAGATGGAGAGAGACAGAAACATCAATGATGAGGGAGAATCATTGATCGGCTGCCTTCTGCACACCCCCTTATTGGGGATCGAGCCCGCAACCCGGCATGTGTCCTGACTGAGAATCGAACTGGTGACCTCTTGGTTCCTGGGTCGACGCTCAACCGCTGAGCCACACTTGCCGGGCCCCATTTTAGCCATTTTTAAGGGCACAACCTAGTGGCACGAAGTAGATTTATATTGTTGTGTAACCGTCATCACCGTCATCTCCAGAACTTTCTCATCTTCCCAAACGGAAACTCTGTCCCCATGAAACACTGACTCCCACCCTCCCCCAGCCCTGGCGCCCCACATTCTACGTCCTGGCTCTCTGGTTTGCCCACTCCGAGCGCTTCGGATAGAGGGAGTCACGGAGTATTTGTCCCTCTGTGTCTGGCTTATCGCCCTTGGCGTCATGTCCTCAAGTTCGTGCCTGGGGCAGCACCAGATCTTTCCTCCTTGTCAAAGCTGGGGAATGCTCAGTATGGCCACACCGAATCCTGTTCACCCATCATCCGTTGATGGGTATTTGATTGTTTCTGCTTTGGGCCAGTGTGGATATTGCTGTGAACTGTGGTTTACAAAACTGGTTTGTTTTTTAAAAGTGCCCCCTAGAATCCGGCCCACTGCCACCCACCACGTCACCAATGAAGGGGTTCCGGCCTCTCTCCCCTGCGTGGCCTCAGGAGTCCCCACCCCCACCGTCACCTGGACCAAGGTAGGCGGAGCCCGTGACCACTGAGGGTAACAGAGGGCCAGGCCCCGTGCATCATGGGAGGGGAGCGGTGCACATGCCGTGGGTGTGGGCTCTGCTGATGTCACTCACCAGTGACTCCACCACAGGAGACCAATGCCCTGGCCTCCGGCGGTCCCCACTACAATGTGAGCAAGGATGGCACCTTGGTCATCGCCCAGCCGTCCCCCCGGGACGCAGGGACCTATGTCTGCACGGCCACCAACAGCGTGGGCTTCTCTAGCCAGGAGATGCGGCTGTCCGTCAACAGTGAGTGAAGGCTGCCCCCATCCTGGGGGTGGGGGGGCTCGGCAGGCGTGGAGTCAGGACCGGGACACTGACCGTACGGCATCTTCCCTGGGCCCTGATCAACCTGCCCCCACACTCTCCCCAAGGAACGCTCCAGCCAAAGCCGGCCTCCCAGAGCGCTGTCCCTCGCAGTGAGGACGTGCTCAGAGAGTGGCTCCCACTTGCGTAGATGTGAAATCGTGTGGTGGTTGTCTTCCTCCGTCTCGGCCTTTGTAGCCAGTGTGGGGAAGCCGTCACCCTAACAAGCCTCGGAAAGACACACAGCCCTATGCTGGGCCCCTGCCCCCTACCTGGGCACCCCCCCGCCAGCCTCTCCTCCTGATGCTCTGTGCCCAGACCCTCTGACTTCCTTCCAATTCCTCGAATGGGCCATCGTGCCGCAGGGCCTTTGCACGTGCGGTTCCTTCCGTTTAGGAGGCCCTCCCCCACCTCTTGGCCCAGCCGACTCCTCCCATCCACAGATCTCAGTTCTCCCTGATCCCTCGGGCTGAGTCAAATCACCTTGCTGTGGAGGGTGGACTAGACCCTTCACAATGCCCGTCACAACTGTGAGCACATAAATATTGTGCACGAGCCGCTGGGCACCAGTGCTCCCTGTGGCCCCGGGAGCTGTGAGGACCGGGGGCGGGGCCTGGCCTTGCGCGGGCACCGCAGAGCTGGGCCCTCAGTAGCGTCTGGCTGAGTGAGCAGGCGCACGGCCGGTCTCCTATCGTTTACTCTCAGAGCCGGTCTTTTCATGTTGCAAACATTTTTTTGCCAGCGGGGTCTCTCTCAGCGTCATGATGTATAGGGAGCTACACGAGGGCTGCCTGGGCCTCCACCTCCCCAGCTGGCTGGCCTGTGTGGTTATGGGTGCTCAGACAGGTCCTGGTGCCTTCCGTGTATGAGCACGTGGCTGGAAATGTGGGGGGGCATAGAGAAGGAGGGGTTGGGGTAGTCTCTGCCATCAGGAGCCTCCGCTTCCTATGAGAGCCAGGTGATGGGCACAGGTTAGTGTAAACCCCGATGGGGTTGGAGGAGGCCAGAGGGAGACGGGGTGTCACCTGGTGATTGGGTGTCACCTGGTGCCTGATGTGTGGGAGGAAGTGGGATGATCATGGGGGACAAGGTGGAGAGGGAAGAGGTGGAGGAAGGACCCGCCCGAATGTCCCCAGGGAAGGAGCAGCAGATGAAGAGAAGCTAGAAGCTGGGACGGGGGCTCCGTATCCGTGTCATCCTAGCAGAACGAGCTTCCAGAGGGAGGGTGGCGGTGGAGAGATTCGGGGGGGAGGGACCGGGGAAACCATCGGGTCCGAGCCCACCCCCAAACCTGCACTCCCCCATGATGACAGAGCCACACCCACCCTCTGCACCTCCCGGGAGGCAGTGCCACCTCAGCTTCCTGGGGAGCTGTCCTGGTCCCCTGGGGCCTCGTCCCATGGCCCCCTGACCTGCTCACAGTTTCTGCCTGTTTCCATCAACAGCCAAGCCCAGGATCCACGGGAATTTCTCACATGATACGGACGAGCCTCTGAGAGTCACAGCCAAGGCCGGTGACGAGGTGACCCTGGACTGCGAGGCCCAAGGCTCCCCACCCCCACTGGTCACCTGGACCAAGGACTCCCACCCTGTGCCAGCCGCCCCTGACAGGTAACCCAGGTGCACGGGCAGGGGAAGAGCTTGGGGTTTAGGGGGAACCTGGCCTCAGGTGGCCAGTGACCAGTGACCGGGCGTGTGAGGACCCTGTGGATGCTCCACGGGGTGTGCGTTCCCTTCTGCACGCAGCGCTTTTGTCCCTGGTCCCCTGAAGCCGCTCCGAGGACCCTCAGAGGGTCCGTGACGCCCAGGGCGAGACCCCTCGGAAATGGCAGGCGCCCCGCGTTTCACACCCCGGCTGCTGGGAGCTGCCCGCAGACTCTCCTGTGATCGGCACAGCAGCCCCCGATCTGAGCTGAACTGAGGGCTTCTCCCTAACTGTCGGGTGTCCTGGGAGCGAGAGGGGGCTGGCTTGGGTCTCCTTCAAAGCCAGGCCGCACGCCCCCCAGGCAGGGGTGTGGGGGTGGTGGTTCCAGACAAGAGAGCCTTGACACTGCTGAGGCCCTTGACCCTCGGAGGCGGGGGGCGGCTGCGGCTCAGGCCGGTGACATCAGCCCTGGCAAGGCCTTTGAGACGATCCAGACAGGTCTGTGCCGCCCCCACCCCTCTGACACCCACATGTGGGTCTCTATCTCAGAACATCTGTTTGCTGAGCCCTTCCAAACCTCCAGCCTGCAGGCAGCCGGGGTCCTGTGCCTGGGCTGGGTCCCCCCACCCCATGTCCTGGGGTGTCTCTGCAGCTCCAGGTGGTGCGTGGGGGTGGGCAGCGGGGGGGGGGGGGGCGGGTAGGAGCCCACATCGCTCCCTGGAGAGCCTGGTCCCAGCCCCTTGGCCAGAGAGCCTGGTCCCAGCCCCTTGGCTGGGCGGTGGCCGGCGGCCAGGTGCTTGTGAATTTACGACTTGTTGCTGACACGGGAAACCGCAATTCCCACGTGCTCACCCCTCTTGTTGTGATGTGCGACGGACCAGCCGGGAGCCGTAAATCTGTGGAGCCGCTTTTGCAATCCTGGGTTCTGCTCTGTTCCTTCTCCCCTGCCCTCTCCGCTTCTTGCCGGCTTCCAGCTCTCTCTGAGATTTATGAGATCCGGGAGTTTATCTCAATGAGGAGGAACACAGGCCTGGGGGCGGGCGGGGTGAGGAGCGCAGACCCTGGAGCCCATCAGCCTTGAGCGCTGATCCCAGCGGGCCCGTCGAGTCGTGCGGCCGCGGGCCTCCATCTGCAGCGTGGCCGCGGTTTAAACATGCTCGTGCGGCTGGTGATGGATGTGCGACGCTCGGTCCGTCCTGAGTGCCCGAGCGCCGCTCCCCCTGACAGTTTCCTGCTGCTGTTCACAAACCGAAGCATCGCTTCCAGCTTTTGAAAGAGGTCACATCTGCTATCCCGTTTCCCTCGCGTCCCCTTGGTTCAGTAGAAAAGCTGTATTGAGATGTAACTCACAGGCTGTGCAGTTCTAAGTCCGGTGCGTTCGGAGTTGTGCAATCATCACCGCCATCAATTTACATTTCCAGCTTCTCCTCCTCCCCCCGAGCCCCCATCCTCACTGGCAGCCACTTCCCCTCCTGCCCCAGCCCCGGCAGCCACCAGCCTGCTTCTGCCTTTGGATTCATCTATTCTGGACGTTCCGGATGCAGGGAATCTGCCGTGTGTGGCTTTCGCGCCCGGCTTCTCTCTCGGAGCAGCATGCTTTTCGGTTCCTGCATGTTGTGGCGGCGTCAGAGCTTCGTTCCTCTCTGTGGCTGAGCAATATTCCCCGGAGCGGTGCGGCCTGGCCACCGTGTGTCGGCGATCCGTGCGCCGTTGGAGGGTCATTTGGGTTTCCGCTTGTTGGTGACTGTGGACGGCCTCCCGACTGCGGACGGCGTTTAAGCCGCATGTGAACGTCACTCGCAGCTCCGTGTCCTGTGGTTCTGGGCGCCCCTCTTCCATTTCTGTGAAACGTCCAGCACGCGGACAGCTTGCTTCCCCCACACACAGAGCCCAGCTCAGTCTTCTCAGACACAGCCATTCGCCCAGAAACTGGAGATTTAAAAACTGCATGGAAACACACACTGAGGGGGAGGGGTGGTGACGGCGGTGGGTGGGGGACAGGCTTGCTGTCTGCCTGCTCTTCCTCATCTTCCTCCTTTTCCTTCTTTCTTTTTTAAAAATATATTTTTATTGATTTCAGAGAGGAACAGTGAGGGAGAGAGAGATAGAAACATTGATGATGATAGAGAATCATTGATCAGCTGCCTCCTGCACGCCGCACACTGGGGATCGAGCCCACAACCCAGGCATGTGCCCTGCCTGGGAATCGAACTGTGACCTCCTGGTTCATAGGTCGATGCTCAACCACGGAGCCACGCCGGCTGGGCAATCCTTTTCCTTCTCCGAGGGCGTCCCAAGGCTCAGCCTCAAAGCTGCCGTGTGGGGGGTCTGAGCCGCTGCCGCCCTCAGCCACCTGCCCGTGTGCACAGCCCTGTCCCGTGTGTTCACGGGCAGGCGTTTGCGAAACTAAACGTGCGCGTCTTCTATTCCGCCCTCATCGTCGACACTGCTCTCCGCTCACCCATTTTCCTGATTCCTCCCGGCCCACGTCACTTGCTTGTCATTTAAAGGACAAAATAACATTCCGGGCGTTTGTCTCTCCCATGTTGCTAAGCTATTCTCTGGGGCACGCGCGTTGCCAGCTGTCGGTGCTAATGAGCGGGCCGTTGGAACATCTTCGCACAAATGCTCCTCTGTCTCCTGGTCACTTCCTTGGGGGATAGTTGCGAGAACACACGGCGAGTCCAGGGGGGACTGGTCAGTGAGTGCCGCTGACCCTGCGGGCAGCTGTGTGCAAACAGCCCGTGCAAGCTGTGAATTCACAGTTGAAGGTGGCAGGATTTCACGAGCCCGGCTGTGTGAGGTCAGGGCCAGAGACCTGGGGTCCTCTCCCAGCCTCGCCCCCGGCTGGCTGGGTGAACTTGGCCCTCCGTCTTCCCGTCTGAGAAATGAAAGGGTTGGACAGGCAACAGTGGCCAGAGAGCATCTTGCGGCTCTGGTCCCCGGGTCCACCCGGGAATGCCGGGGCGAGGCGGTGTTTCTAGGCAACAGTGTTTGTTTGTGGCTGGGACAGCTGCTAGCTCTCCTGGCCCGGCTCACACTCCCCGGGGCAGCCGGCCAGGGTCCCCTACTGGGCCAGATCCAGCCACATCAGGGGGAGCGGAGGGGGCAGCCGGCAAGGGCGGGTGATCTACACGCCCAACCCCTCGCTGGCCCAGTTACCCCCCGACACAGAGGTGGGGGTTGCAGCTGGGCTTCTAGTGACCCAGGACAAAAAGCCATTCCCTCACCGGCATGGCATGGACTGCCCAGGGCCCCTCGTGGGGTCTTCACCTTGGTGGGTCCTCACAGCTCAGCCTGCTGCCCGACCCGGTGGCCCTGAGGTCTTGGTCTTGTCAGCCTATGGCAGCAGCTCTCTTTCTGGAAAACTTGGCAGTGAGTTAAACTCTGGGCTGACGCGTGAGGTCACCGCGGTGGCTGGCAGGGTGGTAGCAGAGAGGGGGGCACGTCCCAGGTCTGCCCTGACCAGCTGGTGGCTGTGGAGGCCTCTGCAACGCGGGCTGAGGGCATAGGACCTGCCTGCGTGCAGGGGTGGCTGTTGGGAGCTTCACGTGAGCACATCCATGGGGGGTGCTCCGCTGTGCAGGCCACACGGGACCACCCCATAGGTGGCAGCCGCCATGAGCATGGCTTGGTGTAGGTTTCTCGGGCTCACGGATGGCGCTTCTCCCTCTCGCGTATGTTGTCCTTTGGGGGGTCTCGGGCCCCTCGGCCTGGATCCCCAGCTGGCTTTTCCACGCAGGGCTTCCTCATAAGGGTCTGTGATGCAGGGAGGCCCCAGCGAGGAGATGAGGGTCGAGCGGCCTTTGGCGGGTGAAGGCCCGGCTGCCTGGTGCGGGTGGGTGGGCCCTTGCCCTGTGCAGGCTCAGGCCCCGCTCTGGTCCCAGCAGATGGGCACGTGGGGGTGTCCGTGGGGAGGGCTGAGCATCCGCAGCCACTAACACTCCTTCTGGAAGGGTCTGTGCCAGCGGTTCTCAACCTGTGGGTCGATACCCCTTTGGGGGTCCAACGACCCTTTCACAGGGGTCGCCTAAGACCATCGGAAAACACATATATAATTACATATTGTTTTTGTGATTAATCACTATGCTTTAATTATGTTCAATTTGTAACCATGAAATTGGGGGTCACCACAACATGAGGAACTGTATTAAAGGGTCACGGCATTAGGAAGGTTGAGAACCACTGGTCTGTGCTCTCGGGGTGATGGTCCTTTAGAAACGGGGACAGTGGTACCAACAGCATGGGACCCAGCAGGAGGGACTGGGTGCAGACACACACCTGACTCGGAGCAATCTGAGGACGGAGCACTCCCTCAAACCCGCGGCAGCCTGCCCACCTGGACCCCCTCTTTGTCCAGCGAATGAATGAATGGGTGGATGGGTGGATGGATGGATGAGCAATTGGCTGAACTGGGCTCCACGCAGCTCAGCGCCAGCGAAGTGTAACCTGCCTGGACTCACCAGGGAAGGCTCCATGGAAGAGCCGGAGCCGGTGCTGCCTAGAATGGGTCTGGGGGGCAGGAGAGTGTCCTTGGGCGGCAGGGAACAGTGTGAGCGCAGGTGGGAAGGGGAGCGTGTGCGTGGACTGCTGGGGATTTGCCGCCAAACATTTCTTGAGCACCCTCTGTGGGTCAGGACTTGTGCTAAGGCCTGGGACACGGCAGGGGAGCCTGGGCGCACCTGGCCTCCCCCTCACCGAGCCATCTGACAGGACAGGTGATCACGGGTGTGATGAGCGCCCTGACGGCTCCAGGAGTGTTCACCGGGAGCGAGCGGGGCACTGCCTGAGCGCTAAGGACGAGAGGGACCTGGAGAGGGACCGGCCGAGGGACCGGCCGGGGTCGCAGTGAGGTGTGCGCTGGGAGTGCGGTGTGGCCTGGGAGTGAGGTGTGGCCTGGGACGTGCATACTCTGGGCACTTGCTCTCAGGTGCCCTTTGGTCTCTCCGGGCAGGTAGGCCCCCCT